TGTAATCTGCCATGGGCCCCCGTACCGACTCCTCATGCTGTGACGTTGCAACAAGGTGTAATTCAACCCTACATATGTTAGACCGCCTTTACGAACAGCTAAAGGCCATCACAGATTTCCTGATGTTAAAAGCGGATAAAGGTACTCCCTGTGTAACTTAGATGTCAGCCATTGTCAGCTCATGTGTGACACCTGCGCTTGCTCAGGCCCTTTGAGGAGGCCACGCTATTCGTGAGTCGGCAGGACTATGGGATGAATGAGGTCAAATCGGCCATGGGCCCCCGTACCGCCTGTTCACGCTGATGCTGGTCCCACAGTGTGACCTGGGTCCCTGTACGGCCTCCCATTGCTTCCACTCTGCCATGTACCTCTTTGAAATCTCCTCACACTCCTGCGGTTGTCCATTTTGTCATAGGTTGCTGGCAGATTAGCGGCCTTCCATAGGTGCCGCCAGGCCCCATATCGACCATGGGCCCCCGTACCTCCTGGTCACGCTGCTGCTGAGCCCACAGTGTGACCTGGGTCCCTGTACGGCCTCCCATTGCTTCCACTCTGCCATGTGCCACTTTGAAATCTCCTCACACTCCTGCGGTTGTCCATTTTGTCATAGGTTGCTGGCAGATTACAGGCCTTCCATAGGTGCCACCAAGCCCCATATCGGCCATGGGCCCCCGTACCGCCTGGTCACGCTGCTGCTGGGCCCACAGTGTGACCTGGGTCCCTGTACCTGTACCGCCTCCCATTGCTCCCACTCTGCCATGTGCCACTTTCAGGTCTCCTCACGCTCCTGCTGGTTTCCATTTTGTCATAGGTTGCTGTATGGCCTCCCATTGCTGCTGCCTCCACCGCCACACTGTGGCTCCAAACACTGGTTTTGGCCCCGTGACTGGCCAAAGGAGTGAAGTGTGCAGTGATTCTAAGATCGACGGCACTCATCTGCATGTCATACTGACAGACAGTATTATTTCTCTTCCCCAGCAGACTCCAAGGGCATTTAAATTAAAGGTACAGTGTTCTGCACTAATATTAAGTCTCTCTGAAGCCTAGAAACACCCTTTTTTAAGTTAAATTCACAGCGAATTTATTCGACTCGAATCGAATATTGTCCACGAATTCGCCGAATCAGTCGAATCGAATTTTTCATTTCTTCGCTCATCTCTAATTATATCGGCATAATTTTATTGTACATTCTTGCAGCATATACTCACACTATGGAGGAATTCACCCCCCGCACAGCAATAATCTGTTTCTCATTTAAATTTATTTAAATTAACATTTTTTTCTGCATTGTCACACATCAGTTTACATTACCAAACCATGACCGCCTATTGTAACTAATCATAATTAAGTACGGGCAATGTTCAGCTTTGCAAACGAATTTCATCATAGCATAAAATGTTACGAAAGATTAAAATGCATTGACGTAGCAGGTCGTGACCCCCTAGGCATTTTGCTATCCTAAAGCGAACTAGAACCAAGAATAATGATATGCGATGCAACCTCCAGGTCAACTATTTCCATAAATCAATTTCATATGGAGAGCAAATTCTATGTTCAAAGCAATGTGTTGGAAACAATTAAATTAGCAATTATATGGCAGGGAAATATTTTCTCTAAAGAAAGCACTGTTTAAAGAGGCATGTGTAATATTTTAATTTTTTTATTTTTTTTAAGATAAACATGTTACAAGAGTTATGGTTGATGTAGAAAATCTTATCAATATGTGTGTTGTTTTTTCTTTTTTATTTTGTAACCTTGTTGCTTTGTATAATTTGTAATTATATGTGTATTTGGGGGGCAGCCATATTTGCTCATTACAGATGCAGACTATGATTCCTATTTTGATATGCTACACAATGGTTGTGATTTACTGCTCCTTTTAGGACTATAGCCATTAGTAGACAATCAGACATGCATGCATGATCCAACTGGCCAGTTTCTCCCCTAGTAGTAGTCTAGATGAAAACTCCTGTTTAGGGCAAAGGAGGAGGGAGGAAAAAGGTAGCCCTATGGTGATAAAAAACAATAAAACCAGGTTTTTTCATCTGTCTGGTTGTCTTTTTCCCCCCTCAGCAGGCATGGTTAGATATGTTATTAATTATGCATAAACTTTGAATTGTTGGCCAATTTGGCCAAAAAAGCCTAATGTGACATCAATGGGCACTTTAATCCTAGGTTCACACTTGTGCAGGTTGTGCAGGGTGTGTTTGTGTAGGCATGGCAGCTCATTCATTTGCCCACGTGCCCACGTTTCTTGGAGAACAAAGGTGCATGCACCTTTTTAAAAATGCAGCCTCAGGGAAATTGCATGGTGCTTTTCACCAAGCGATTTCCCTGCAACCCCCCACACCCGCAAATTCACTGCTGGTTGCGGGTGCGGGAAGAGGTGCGATTCCTACTGCCACAACCAATGGCTACTATGCAAATCTACAAATTGGCCGAATCTTAAAAAAAAAAAACATTCCTATGTGGCTGCTATGGGGTGAACAGGGCACGTGGTCAAACCTGTGCATTGTTTCCATCCATTTTTATGCAAGTATGGTGGAAACAAAGCCTTTACAGTTGCCGGTGTGCTTATGTCAATCGAACTGTCAAGCCATCAAATGGCTGATGTCATTGCTGATCACATGTACAGCATCATGGCAACTGCAGATCAAACAGAGGCTAAGATGGCAGCTTCCTTGGCTGTAAAGAATCGGAGGGTTTAGTTCAGCTTTAAGTCACTAAGAGTGCCAACATGGTGACTTGTTTGTAAAGGATTAGTGTTATGACTAAACTACCTCAAGCAAAGAAAAACTACTATTGGTGGACTATTATGGACTTCATTCAAGGTATTAGAATGTGCTTTTAATAATATATAAAAACCAGACAACAGTCATATACCCTTAATGAGCATTTATTTGGCAACACAGCTTTAAAACCACACAGGTAAATCTAATCCTCTTTAAAACCAACTAGCCCCACCTATATCTGCAAGATCCTTAAAATGCACCTTCAACAGCTCATTGTATACATGGTGATTTCTAAAAGTCAAGTGGATCTAGACACACACCCAAAAATATTCAAAAATAACAATTAATATTATGAAAATATCTACATTTCAAAACACAGCAATTTAAAGCCCATATTAGACCACATGAAGTCCAAAAACTGAGTATGTCTAGCATGGACGGTCAGTTTAACAGATAATTGTAAATCCACCATTCCTCATGAAGTGTGAAAACATCAAGATACATGAAAGAAAACATAGAAAATAAAGAAAAGAACAAATTCTGCATTGTAAGTTCTACTGGATATAAAAAGAGCAGATGTTCACTGTGAAAGTGGTTTTAAAGCCTAAATATTTTTTACCTTAATACATTCTTGGCCCTTACCCCCCCATACTTTCCCGAGCCCCCATTCAATCCAGCACTGTGCACGTCTGCAGCTCTTCTATCTTCTCACTTCTGGGTCTGATCGGCTGAAGTGGGAAGCACTGCCAGCAATGGGAGCCATTGGTTCCCACTGCTGGCAATCAAAACCGGTGACCATGGAGCCGGGGTGGGGCCGAGTCCCTCTGTCTGTGTCAATGGACATAGCAGCTAGCCTGCTTCCATGCCCTCATGGGAAGTGGTTTTCTATTGGGGGCACTAGCAGAAAGGAGGAACCAAGTACACTAGCAGGGCCACTCTGTGCAATTCTGTTGCACAGACCAAGTAAGTATAGAGATGTTTGTTATTTAAAATAAAAAATTGTTTACAACCACTTAAAACTCCTTAAGTATGGTTGGTAAATCACACAGATCCCATATATGTCCTATAAATCTGCACAGGAGGAGGTTCCCAAAGGAAGTCCCCAAGGCCACTTTGAGGTAACAGGTTCACAACTAAGTGAACTTGGGTCACCTTCACAAGGGATATCCATTATCTCCAGCCAGATTGATCACCCTTAAAGAGTATGCATATATCCCATACCTCCAACTAGGAGGGGGAAATAGATATCTGAGTTCAGAAACCAGGCTATCAACTGGCTTGTTAAACAGTTCTCACCGTAGCTCCTCCAATATTAAAGCCTATTTTCTTGCAAGAGATCCACAGTGCAAAAAGTTGCAGTAAAACAGTGTTAAGGTATTTCACATTCTTGTGTGCATGCTCATGAGCTCCATGCTATCATTGCTGCATTTGTGGATAGGGCACAAAGTAGAAGGGATTCTTCTATTAAAAGGGATGGCTTGTGGGATTCAAAGTGACCTACCTGGTTTTGCCGGTTACACCTGGCTTCATAAGAGGTCCAATGTTGGGGGTGGGTTAGTGTTATGGGTAACATATGGGCAAGTGTTTGGGTTGGTATTTTAGGTTAGAGTTGGCTTTGTTATCAACAATGATCTCAGCACTGAGAAGTCCACCAGGTGAAATCTGGGGCAAATTACAACAACATTTTGGTGGTGGCTAAATACATTTTGCCCAAATCACTTTCCTAGTCAGGAATTAGAGAATCAGTTTATTTGCACATCATCATCTCTCCCAGTGACAGAAACCCCATGACAAATCTGATAGACAATTATATACTTAATATCAGTCCTTATATAGATGATTATTTAGAGTTCATCTTTAAAGTATTTTATGACGTATTGCTGCTCTTATTTTTTTCAACTGGTCCTGAAAAGAATAAATAATAGAATTATTACAGCCTTTTACAGGCTGATCCCACTCAATTCAGCACTCTGTTTTACTGAGATTTGACATGCCAGTTCTATAGAATCTGTTTAATGTGTTGGTCGCACAGTTATATCAGCATTGCATTTTTCTGTCTCATTATCTTAGCAAACATTTTCAGATTTTACAGGATGGTCTTTGTTCCTAATAATGACTAACAAGCGGCCAAGCCAATATTAAATAAACCAAGCTGATGGACTTAGTTTAACTCTTTTCAAAATGTCATAAATTAATCCTCTGCTAAAAGAACAAATGTCATTACCGCCAAGAGATTAGCAAACTTTTTCTTCCCTGTAACAAGCCACCTGCAGTGCAAACATTCTGCTGGATTTATGGTTCAACTTAACAATGTGAACACCGATTCCTTTTTACAAACTGTAATTTAAATAAGTTGAACAGCACCAGCCAAGGAACATTAAAGGGGCGGTCTGGTTCTAATTGGTAACTATTATAAACTTGTGAGTCATGCACACATAACGGCATAGGATAGCTTTCTTTTGTTCAGTTTTGGCAAACTTTCAGCTTGCCGTTTAACAAAGTCTCTTTTTGTTAGGCAGTTTTGAGAAACAATTAAGGAGAACATTTTCAAAATGAAAAAAATAAATAACATTTGATCAGGGCTTTAGTACCATAGTGGGAGTTATTGACCAATGCCTAGTGCAGCAGGGTTAGAGGGGTCAGTAGCAAATAAGGAAAAAGTTACATATTATACATTTTTCCTTACTTTGTGTCCCTCAATTGTCCACCTCTGGTCCTACTTAACTTGCTCTTGATGTTACAGAGCACCTTACAGGACATTTTTCTATCAGAGCTAAGACACATAACATAATGGGAATGTCAAGGGCCACACACCCTCGGTATGCCCAGATCACATGCAGGTGCAAAACCTTTAGCTTTCGCCAACACATTCTGTCTGCATGATGACCAAGCATTCACCCTTCAGTCTCCAGGCACACTCTAGGAGGTCACTCACAAAACCTATTCATGGTGCCAAATTTATAATGGTAGTTCTCAACCCAGAGGGGGACATAGGGAATACTTCAACTACACTAGGGGATCACTTTGTTCTTAACTTTTATTATAATAACCAGAATAGAAAT